CTTGTCTCTTATCTTTGTATTCCCAGCACTTAAGTCATAATGCCTGGCATATAGTAAATAGAGGAAGAAATAAATGCACCAAAGATGAAAGCTACCTCCAGCTATGTCAGGCTGAAGTCTTGCTTAACTGCTTCAAATCACACTGAACTTTTTCTTTCTGAACTGATATGAGAGTACTGATCCTAACCATGGTAAAACCTCAGTTGAGCAGAAACATAGGAATGTTCCATTCTGAGTATTTTTCCAGATAGTTTGATTTTACCAAATTAAGTGCAAAACATTTTCATGTTAACTGTTTCAAATAGGGATTATTCAAAAAGATATTGTTAATTTCCTGTGGATTATATAGTGGAAAGACCACAACTAGGAGTCATTAAGACCCTGACTGACCTTGTAAGATAAACCACTTTATCTCTAAGGCAGAGTCTCTCACCTGTGAGTGGACACTTTACCTGCCTGCTCACTTCACAAGATGAAGTAAAATAACGTAGGTGAAATGTTTTGTAAATCTCAAAGTGTTTCACACATTCAAGACATCATTTAACCAGATTTTTGCTTGCTCAGAGGAAGCATTGTGAACTTAATTGTCCAGGTGAACAGTGAGGACCCCAGAGTCTAGAATATATGTAGTTAAGACTGTTTGCTCCTCCTCCACATGGCCAGAAACGCTGCAATTTTCAATTGTCGGCTTTTTTGTTTTCCTTCTCTTCCCTTGTTATTTGTGTTAATTCTCATTGTTATCAGTGTTCTTGCTTCTAAAAGCTCCTCTTTCCTCTTTTAATTTGCTACAAATTATATGCTGTGGGTTCAGAGAAGATTACTAGAAATGGGTATTGATTAAGAGAAAATAAAAGAAAGACTTCCCCATGAGTGAAACAAATGAACATTATTGCATGTGACTGTTATGTTGCTACCATTTCCCCCTTATCTCCTGGTTATTGGATATGTTTTGAATTTCTTCTTTCAGCAAATATTTATTGAGCACAATAGTGCCAGGTACTAAAGCATAACCCCTGTCCTCATGGCGTTTACAGCCTAGTCGGGAGGCAGTTAATAAAATCACAAATTACAATAAAGAGTAATTATCATGATAAGGGAGGTATGCAGTTCTACAGGACTATGGAATACAGGGGTGCTGTGTAGTTTAGGGAGTCACGATGGCTTCACAGTCATGATGGCTTCTGATGACTTTCCAGCTGAGACCTGAAGGATGGGTAGGAATTAACCAGGCAGGGCAGAGGTATGCATGGGAAGAAAGTTCCAGGCAGAGACACAAGAAGTGGGAAAGTCTAGAGTACAGGAAGAGGGAGAAGGAGAGGGAGAGAGAAGCCAACCATGATGCTATTGGAGGAGCTGAGAGGATTACAACACAGCTAGAGCAGAGTATAAGGCAAAGCTGGAGCGGTAAACAGGCAAGGAGCTGGTAGCAGAATTCTGGATTCAGAAGGTATTACTGTATTTGCATCTTCTTGTACGTTAATTCCTCTTCTTATTATCCAATTAGATTATATATTTCTTTTAAAAAGGACTTTTACTTTTCCTGTGATTTTGGTAGTGCCACCTACTATTGTTCCCTAAGTGTGTGATCAGTGAATTAATAGAGCGTATAGGAACAGAATGCTGCCACATTCATTATAAGGTTGAAGTTATTACCTCCTAACCTTGTGAGGTAGTTGTCAGAAAAAGCATAGGCTTGGAAATCACGCAAGTCCTCAGTCTACCATTTATTAGCTCTCTAATTTGGGAACAGGTTATCTAACCTCTTTAAGCCTCAGTCTTTTTCATCAGCGAAAAGGAGATAGTGACATTTAGTTCATAAAGGTATCAGAGGATGAAATGAGATATTTATATAACATCTAGCAGAGTGCACCCAACAAATGCCAGCTCCAGTTCTTTCCTCTCGCTTCCCTCCCCTAAGCTCGCAGTCCATTCTTTTCCATCTGCCCCCACACCTTGCTCCATAAACATTACCTCTCCTTTGCATTTTCTAAGCCTCCCTTTCCACTGGCTCCTTCCTTTCAGCCTACAAATGTCCTCGAACTCCAAGCTAAAAATAGTCCCTCTGTCAATCCAGTTTCCCATTCCCTTAAGCTACCTTTCCATTTCTCTTCATCCCTTTTCCACCATACTCCTTAAAGGAGTTGTTAACGTTTCCCAATCCAAGTTGTATCAAGGACCCTCAGCTCTGGAGCCTGGGCTGAGAGAGGTGGGCATAAGAAAGGAGCCAAGACCCAATCACTGTCTCCAAGGAGGAGAACCAATGGTTTTGGAGTCACTGGTGTGCTGACTGCCTCCACTTCTGAACTTCAATCTCTACTCTTCAACTTTTCACAACTGGACAAGGTTCCAATTCTTCCCTTTCTGTTAGAACTTCTTATAAAACCACCAGCTCTCAAGGTCTCTCACTGGTTCTCATACTGTGCTTAAGCAAGCTATACCAGTGATCACTTCCTTTTAAGCATGCCCTTTCCTCAGCTAAAATTTCACTGAAGCCTCTAACCTAGTCCCACTGGGCTAATGATTTCACTCCCCCGATCAAAAACCTTTAATGTCTCCCTACTGTCTACAGCAAAAGTCTGAAGTGTTGAGCAACTCCCTTAAAGCCTTTCATCATCTGGTCTTTTTCCTTCTTCACTTTTTTTCAAACAACCTATGCTCCAGTCATACAGAATAAATCACCACTTCCTGAGCATGCCCTGTATTATCTTTGTTTGCTCTATGGCTTATGCTTATCTCCATTATCTGGGAAGCAGAAGCATTTCTTCCACACTCTGCCTAGTAAGTAGTTAAATCCATCCTTCTAAGTCCACCTCTTCAGCCCTCCTATCAGAAATAATCTAAATTTCTCGTTACTCTCATAATTCCTTAAACTTCTGTTACAGCTAATGACATCATTTGACTTGTATTACAGTTATGTGTGCTTACATTTATCTCCCTGACCAGGCTGGGAGATAAATGTAAGCACATTTCTTTTTTTTTTGGCCGTGCGGGCATGTGGGGTCTTAGCTAGCAAGGCATGTGAGATCTTAGTTCCCTGACCAGAATTGAACCTGCACCCTCTGCGTTGGAAGCATGGGGTCTTTTTTTTTGGAAGCGCGGAGTCTTAATCACTGGACTGCCAGCGAAGTCCCTGTAAGATTCTTTCTTTAAAAAAAAAAAAAAAAAACTTCTTTTGGCTGCATTCGGTCTTCATTGCTGCACATGGGCTTTCTCTAGTTGCGGCGAGTGGGGGCTACTGTTCACTGCGGTGCACGGGCTTCTCATTGCGGTGGCTTCTCTTGTTGCCGAGCATGGGCTCTAGGCGCTCGGGCTTTAGTAGCTGTGGAACGCGGGCTCAGTAGTTGTGGCTCGTGGGCTTAGTTGCTCCGCGACATGTGGGATCTTCCCGGACCAGGACTCAAACCCGTGTCCCCTGCATTAGCAGGTGGATTCTTAACCACTGTGCCACCAGGGAAGTCCCTTACCTTCTTTTTTTTTTTTTTTAACATCTTTATTGAAGTATAATTGCTTTACAATGGTGTGTTAGTTTCTGCTTTATAACAAAGTGAATCAGCTATACATATACATATATCCCCATATCTCCTCCCTCTTGCATCTCCCTCCCACCCTCCCTGTTCCACCCCTCTAGGTGATCACAAAGCCCTGAGCTGATCTCCCTGTGCTATGCGCTGCTTCCCACTGGCTATCTGTTTTACATTTGGTAGTGTATATATGTCCATGCCACTCTCTCACTTTGTCCCAGCTTACCCGTCCCCCTCCCAGTGTCCTCAAGTCCATTCTCTAGTAGGTCTGTGTCTTTATTCCTGTCCTGCCCCTAGGTTCTTCATGACCATTTTTTTCTTTTTCTTTTTTTTTTAGATTCCATATATATGTGTTAGCATATGGTATTTGTTTTTCTCTTTCTGACTTACTTCACTCTGTATGACAGACTCTAGGTCCATCCCCCCCACTACAAGTAACTCAATTTTGTTTCTTTTTATGGCTGAGTAATATTCCATTGTATATATGTACCACATCTTCTTTATCTATTCATCTGTCGATGGACACTTAGGTAGCTTCCATGTCCTGGCTATTGTAAATAGAGCTGCAATGAACACTGTAGTATATGACTCTTTTTGAATTACGGTTTTCTCGGGGTATATGCCCAGTAGTGGGATTGCTGGGTCGTATGGTAGTTCTATTTTTAGTTTTTTAAGGAACCTCCATATTGTTCTCCATAGTGGCTGTATCAATTTACATTCCCACCAACAGTGCAAGAGGGTTCCCTTTTCTCCACACCCTCTCCAGCATTTATTGTTTGTAGATCTTTTGAGGATGGCCATTCTGACTGGGGTGAGATTAGTATATGTGCTGCCGAAGTGAGCACTACCTTCATTCTTGTAACCTGTTAGCTATAAAGCACAGCAAGAGCGCTGCCTCTAGTGGTTCAATGATGTGCTGACACCTGCTGGTCATATCTAGTTCGGCAGCCCTGACCCCAGCACCTTCGTCTCTCTTAAGTATCAAGGGTGGGGACCCCCTTACCCAGCCAGACGCTGAAAGCGTATGCTCGTGGTAATGTCGCCCGACAGCACCACCCACCCCTGGAGACTCCAGGGACACACTCCGTCCTCCTGATCTCTAACTTGCCTCTGTTGTCTCCAGTCTAAGTTCAGTTCAATCTTCAGAACTTTCCCCACGGACCCCCCCACCCCAGCAATCTGTACTTAACATTTTCCCCATTACCACAGACATATAAGGACAACAAGATCTCAAGGAACTGGGCAGCAAGGATAGAAAGGGGCAGACAACTTGGGAGTAGGAGATGTACAATTCCTCTTCCTCACATCAAAGAATCAAGACTATTTCCTACAGAGTGCTATTCCTTTTGACCTTTTATTTCTAGGAGGCTGTCGGGGTCATAGACCTTCTTGGTGGAAGTGTGATGAACGGGAGGTTGAGCACAGAGTAGGTAGGCGGGGCTTGAGGGTGGGGCCAGGCCAAAGGGCCTCTCACTTAGGAGCTTCTCCATTCTGTCAGCTCTCCCGGAACATCCAAGGCAAGACTGGCACCCAGGGCGCAGCAGGTGAGGGACCAGGCAATGACAGAAGGGTAGGCTTTAGGGCTGATGGTAGCAGAAGAGTCCTAGCTCTGTCAGCCTGGGCTTTCCATATTGTGAGACTCTCATTCGATAGAATTCTTGAGCCCCCAGTGGGGAGGTCCAGCTCAGTTCTTCCTGGGGCCAGGCAGCCTCAGAAAGACATGGTTTGGTTTCGGTGGGGGCAGGGCTGAGGGATGGCCGTGGATAAGCGTATGTGACTGACTACTGAGAGGTGCAAGGAGATCTTAGGAGACATGGAGGTAGACGTAGGGGCCAGCAGGAGAGCATGGCCAGAGGGCCACAGGGCAGGACTCAGACAAGAGAAAACAGGAGACTGAAACACGGAGAGGGGGAGAGGACAGTGGATAAAATGTGAGATGGCAACGGGGGCAGTGGAGAGCTGGGTAGCAGGAAGGCCAAGGAGGAAGGAAGGCTCACATGGAGCAATCTCCTCTTCCGGATGTACAGCGTGGTCCAGAAAGCCCCAAGCAAAGCCAGGAGCAGAGCAAGGTTCCAGATTCCCACTGGACTGATTCAGCTGGGGGAGAACCACCCCTCCTCCCAGTTACCCACCTCCCCTGCTTCTTCAGACTCCTATTTCGTTTGGGGAAGAGGGCAAGGCTGCTCCTCACTGCAGTCAGAGCCACATCCTGCAGAGCAGGGGAGGGGGAAGTAAGAAGCAAAACAAGCAGAACCACCACAGGCAAAGACCATGGGGAGAGCGCCCTGGATACTTGCAACTGATGTGCCACCAGGAGGTCCTCAGCACAGTCCCAGCAGAGGACCTGAGACCTCTAGGACTGTCTTGAGGTGCTTGTTTCTCATGATTCCTCAGTGTGCTTCAATCTCATTGAGAGCATTCCAAGGGAAGGAGCCTTCTTTGGATTATATGGTTCAAAGCCCGCTTTTATCATTTGCTAATGACTTTAGCCAAGTTGCTTAATATTTCTTAGTTTCATTTTTCTCGTTGCAAATTGGGGATACCTACCTTACAAAGGGTTGGGAAAACTGAGATAAAGCACTTGGCACATAATATAGGTTCTCAATAAATGTTCATTACTATTTTTGTCAGGACTCCCAGGACCCCTATATTTCTCACGTCTTTAAAGGCAGTACAGCACACTAGCTGACATGGGCTTTTGGAGTCAGAAAAACAGTTGTGTTTGACCTTGGGTAAATTATTTAATGTAAGCTTCAGTTTGCTCAGCTGTAAAACAAGGATAGTAATACCTACACCTCACAGATGTACGGTACCCAGGCAGTGTCCAAAAATGGCAGCTGTGAGAACTATCTGCCAGGTAAGCTTTAGCTTCTCCACTGTAATAGCAACAGCCTACCTCCCCTGAGGTCTTAACTTGTGGTGCGCTAGCGTCCGGTGTGCCCTCATTCCTCCAGCCAAAGCTATTACTGCTCCTCTGGTTTTAGAGATCATGATTTCCTACAGTACAAAAGGAGAAAAAACGGAAACAAAGCACAGAGGACTGAGGGGGCCCAGGGGGAGAAAGGTGACAAACAAAGATGAAGATGAGATAGAAACCAAAGAGACAGAAAGGGGAAAAGCCATTCTAACGAAGCCTGTGGTCTTTCTTCTAGTGACTGACCACATACCCTCCCATCTAACCCTTCCCTAGGAATCATGGAGTCCTTCAGTTCAAAGAGTCTGGCGCTGCAAGCAGAGAAGAAGCTACTGAGTAAGATGGCAGGTCGATCTGTGGCTCATCTCTTCGTCGATGAGACGAGCAGCGAGGTGCTAGACGAGCTCTACCGTGTGTCCAAAGAATACACACACAGCAGGCCCCAGGCCCAGCGCGTTATCAAGGACCTGATCAAGGTGGCTGTCAAGGTGGCCGTGCTGCACCGCAGTGGCTGCTTCAGCCCCAGAGAGCTGGCCTTGGCTACCCGCTTTCGCCAGAAGCTGCGGCAGGGCGCCATGACAGCACTCAGCTTCGGCGAGGTGGACTTCACCTTTGAGGCTGCTGTGTTGGCCGGCCTGCTGACCGAGTGCCGGGATGTGCTGCTGGAGCTGGTGGAGCACCACCTCACACCCAAGTCACATGGCCGCATCCGCCATGTGTTTGATCACTTCTCTGACCCAGGCCTGCTCACGGCCCTCTATGGGCCTGACTACACTCAGCACCTTGGCAAGATCTGTGATGGGCTCAGGAAGCTGCTGGATGAGGGGAAGCTCTGAGAGCCCTGACCCCGGCACGTTCCTTCTTGGCAAAATGGCTGACTGAGAAAAAAAACAGATAATGGGCTTTCTAACCCTGCTCATCTGCACTAATGCTTTTCAACCCTCAGGTTTCAGTCTTTCCCAAGAGTGCCTGTGACTCTGAGACCACCCCATGCCCCACTGCTGGTGGAGAAAAAGCAATGCAGAGGGTTGAGGCCTCTCTCCTACTCCAGCCCCAAGACAGGAAACAAAGCTGCCTGAAAAAGATGAAGCGAAACTTGGATCTCTATTTTCCCCACAAGGGACCTTTCAAACAGGGAAGCCCCCTCCCCTCAGAACCAGGGGAAGAGGGCGTAGCCCATCTCATTCCTCTGGGGACACTAAAGACAGGCAGCGCAGGGAGCCTTTAGAGACATCCTAGACCTTCAGTTCTAGGCGGGGTCTGGACAGATACCAGAGACTCTGCTCCAGAGGGCAGGAAGAAGGGGCTAGGGCAGGGGAAAGTCTCACAGAGGAAATAAAACTATTAAAACATGCACAGGGCTCAATGTTTAATCTCTCCAGCTTCTTGTGTCTTACGATCATCACAGAGGAAAGAGGTATATAAACACCACTCATCTCACCTCTCACCATTTCCATACAGGAGACTGAGGCATATTTCCAGCATCACCGGGGTTCCCTTGCCTACTTCTTCTGTTTAAGAAACTCAAAAAACCTGTACCGCGGATCAGTGCTACAAATTGCAAATAAATATGCAGTGAGGAGCAAGACATAGATCAATAGGCTCTGGTCGGGAGAGGATATAAGAAAAAGACTCCCACAACTGTCCTCCTCTTCAAACTCCACGGCAATTCTTCTTCCATCCCTTAGCCTCACACAGGCTGAACAGAGGAGCAGATTAGAAGGGTGAACTGGTGGCATGGAGAGTTCAGGACCCTACATCGTTATTTTTTTCTCAGAGCAAGAGTTGTGAAAAAGTTATAGTGACCTGGTTAGTCAAGACCGAGCCCAAATTCTTTCATTTGAGATTGGGGGTGAGGCACAGTCTGCCATTCCCTGCAGCGGGGCTAGATCACTGATTGCCCGTTCTCAATAACATGGCTGGCTAAGAAGGTGGGGAAGGTGGGCCAGGAGTCACTGGCTCACTTACTGTTCCTGGGTTCCCCTCATCCCAGGGCTATAGAAATCCCCTTTTTCAGCTAATAGTGGGAAAGAATAAGATATAGCAAATAAATAATACTTCAATATAGCACCAAATAAATTAGGTAACATAGTTGGAGATGGGGAGGAAGTTCGGGGCTGTGAGAGTCCCTGCCTCCCTGCTCTAAGGCCAAGGAATGGTGAAAGGGATGGGAAAGGCAGCAGGGATGTTAAAAGAGCCTTTTGAATCTAAAGGACAACTCTAGATTCAGCCCCAGAACTGAGAAGGGGTCTATTTCCCATCCCCTACCCTTGCCAATAGAACTGCTCCAGACCAAGGAACTCCTGACAGACAAGGAGGCTCAGAAGATGGCAGGAGTAAGGGAGGTGGGCTGGGAGGCCATGTTCCTGAGCCCCACCTCAGGCTCCTCTCTCCCTCAAGTTGCTCCTTCAACATCTGGCTTCTCTCAATCAGTTCTGGAGACATCAGAGTTTGAAGATTTCATCCTCCTGGTCCCGAAGTGTCCGGGTCCGAGAGGTCTGGGTCAGCGGCACAGGACCTAGGACTGCTCGTTGCTGCATCCGAGGAGAGCTCAGGTGAAGACCTGAATCCTCCCCAGGTATCCTGCAGGTGAGGAAAGGGGGAAAGAGCGACAGATCAAGGGAAGAGGCTGAGACCAGGCTGAGCGAAGAAGTACGTGGGAAGCTGTCCTTCTCTAATATACATGAGCTGGTTGCCTTAAGATGGAGTCTCAGTACCCTCTGGGTAAATCTTAATCCTAATGCTCCTTCATGGACCATCAGAGCAGTAAGAACAGTCAACTATTTCACTCCACTGAAAGCACAGAACCATTACCCAGTGCCTCTATCCATTCCAGCAGCCATAGGCTCTGCTCATTGTCTTGCTGCCCCCTGAGGGAAAGGTTTCACCTTGCTTCTGCTGACACTGGAATTACTTACTTTGTGTCTGGTCAGGTATGGGTGGGGGAACAGAGAGTCTATGGAGGGACTTAAAAGGACCCATTCAAACTTCCCTGGTGGCACAGTGATTGGGAGTCCGCCTGCCAAGGCAGGGGGCACGGGTTCAAGCCCTGGTCAGGGAGGATCCCACATGCCACGGAGCAACTAAGGCCGTGTGCCAAACTACTGAGCCTGTGCTCTAGAGCCCACGAGCCACAACTACTGGGCCCACGTGCTGCAACTACTGAGGCCCGTGCGCCTAGAGCCTGTGCTCCGCGACGGGAGGGGCTGCCGCAGTGAGAGGCCTGCGCACCGCAGCGAAGAGTGGCCCCTGCTCGCTGCAACTGGAGAGGAGGGCCCGCGTGCGGCAATGAAGACCCATCGCAGCCAAAAATAAAATAAAAAGAAAGAAAGAAAGAAAGAAATAGAAAAAAATATTTATTTAAAAAAAAAAAAAAGGACCCATTCAAGACTCACCCACTTTCTCCCTTTTTCAGCTTCTGGGCAGCAGCCTTCTTTGACAAGCTGATCTGTGAATCAAGCTTCTTAAGGAAATCAGAGGCAGAGAGGTCGTGAATGGGGGGCTCCTGGCCAGGTGTGGGAAGGACTTCACCATTGGCACGTCCCGAACCTGTCTCTTGTTTCTTCCTCTCAGCTGAGTGTGGCCCAACTTCATCCTTACTTGGCTGTACCTCTTCCTCTCCATCTTTCTCTTCCTCAGAATCCAAACCATTGAACAGGTCTCTGGGCTCTGTCAGGATGGGGATGTAGAGGGTTTTCTTCAGGAAGATCGAGTCATTAGTATAAAGGCGGTTTGCACGCTTAATCTGTTCCATCTTTAAAAAAAAAGTCACCACAGTTAATGACAGTAATAACAATCCATCTTATATTTGTATAGCACCTCATGCTTTTTAAAGTGATTGTACAAAGTCTTATCTGACCCTATAACAACCAAAACTACAGTGGCCTGATATTATCCCTATTTTATTGATCAGTAGCTTTCATACTTTTTGGTCCTAGGGCCCCTTTACATTTTAAAAAACTATTGAGGAAAAAAGCTTTTACTTATGTTGATCACATCTATCAATATTTAAGGTATTGTAAAATTAAAACTGAAAAAATTTAAAAACACTTCCATTACATATTAACATAAATATTTTGATGAAAAATAACTATATTTTCCAAAACAAAAACAACAAAAATGTAGCAAGAACAGAGGCACTGTTTTACATTTTTGTAAATCACTTTAATGTCCGACTTAATGGAAGACAACAGGATTCTCATATCTGCCTCTACATGCATCTGCTGCAATAACACATGTCACGTAGCCTCTGGAAAACAGTACACTCATGAGAATAAAAAAGACAAATAAAGCCTTGTTATTATTACCATGAAAATTGTTTTGACCTTGTGGATCCCTACAGGGTCTTAGGGACCCCTAGGGGGTCCCTTTAACTACTGTTAAAGATGAAGGAACTGAGGTTCAGAGAGGTTAAATAACTTGCCTAGCAAGTTACTGACAGAGATAGAACTAGAATTCTGGGCCTTTTTAGTCCTTCCAGGAATGCTTTTCTTATTATATTAATAATTTCACTGATCAAATATTTATTTAGTACCTATTTATTCATCACTGAACATAGTGACTGACATCACCATCTCTATCTACCTGCCTCCCAAGGTAGAAATATCAATGTCATCCTTAACTCATACTTTTCTTTCATGATCCATACCTAACAGGTCAACAAAAATGCTGTAAAAATCTCTCACACCTGGTCTCATCTTCACATTCACTGCCATTGACTTAGAACAGACTCTTAATATTTCTCATCTGGGTACTGTAACAGTTTTTTGTTTTGTTTTTTATAAATTTATTTATTTATTTATTTTTGGCTGTGTTGGGTCTTCGTTGCTGTGCGCAGGCTTTCTCTAGTTGTGGTGAGTGGGAGCTACTCTTCATGGCGGTGCGTGAACTCTTCTCACTGTGGTGGCTTCTCTTGTTGTGGAGCATGGGCTCTAGGTGCGTGGGCTTCAGTAGTTGCAGCATGCAGGCTCAGTAGTTGTAACTCGTGGGCTCTAGAGCAGCGCAGGCTCAGTAGTTGTGGCGCACAGGCTTAGCTGCTCTGTGGCACGTTGAATCTCCCCGGACCAGGGCTCGAAGCCGTGTCCCCTGCATTGGCAGGTGGATTCTTAACCACTGCGCCACCAGGAAAGCCCCAACCCACTACCTTGCTTATAAACCTTCTATGGCTCCCCATTGGCTCAGAGATAAATCCAAATTAGCAGGACTTCTCTGGCAGTCCAGTGGTTAGGGCCCGCATTCGACCCCTGGTCGGGGAACTAAGATCTCACAAGCCACGTGGTGTGGCCAAAAAAAAAATCCAAATTAGCATTCAAGGGCATTCTCAATCTAGCTCTCATATGAAGTCCACCCACACTTCCCTTCTTCTGCCACTTAAACATTGTGCCATCCTGAACTTTTTATTTTTCTTACAACATTTCATGATCTTTCACCCTTTTGTGTCTTTATCTGCCTGGAATGTTTCTCCACTACTCCCTTCTCTGCCTGGAAAACTTCTCATCAACTATCATTCCCTTTGTGGTATCTTCTTCAGGGCTCCCAATGCATACTGTAAAGATTGCTGTAATAATACCTACCCTATTATATTGTTATAATATGACAAACATATTTGCATATTTGTCTTGTCCAAACTGTGAGTCCTTTAAGGGCAGGGTTGGTGACTTGCCATCTCTGTATGCCTAAGGCACTCTTCAGCATTGCACAAACTTGGCACACAGCAGAGGCTCATTAATGCTTTATGAGTAAATAAACTAGATAATAAAATATAGGAACCACAGACACAGTATGTCAGTATTTTATTATTCGAGGCCAGGCAGCCAGTTTTATTAAAAATTCATCCCATAATGGCACCAGTTTGGGAAATCATAATTCTTATATCTGTCAAATATCAAAGCTGTTTCCACTCTAGGGCAAGACCACTATAATACAGTTGACTTATAAAATCTTATGCTATAATGAGTTTAAAAATAAAATTGGATTGATCTAACAATAAAAAAAAGTTTAAAATGGCTTGCAGTTTTGTACTTTTTCTTCGCCAAGTGCTTTGATGCTATTCATTTTATTTTGCCTAGATAATATCCTAGGTCTCTTTTGTCTCGATAATATCCTAGGTCCTTTTCTGTTGCTTTTATTATTTCCTAGCAGTACCATATAAGGGGACACTGTTCCACTTCCATCGAGCCAAGAGCTAGAAAGGTCATTAGAATCTAGTTAGTTTAATAGAGCAATTCAAAGTGAGGATTTTAGAATGAGACAACCTGGTCTGAATCTTAGCTCTACTAATTAGACTAGTTGTATTTAGTCTATGGCAAATTATCTCTCTAAGCTTCAGTCTCCTTATCTTTAAAATTTTATTTT